AGGGCCCTGACAGTCACTCTATAATTATGGCAGGTAACTTGTCATGACTGTTCACAGACTTGTCATGGAGATCTTGGGAATGTCACTCTTCAATTAATTAAATGCCCTGCATAGTTCACAGCTCTGGTGAGAAGCACTGATGCTTCAGATGCTAATATTCTAGTGATGTGTGGAAGCTCCATGTTCCCAAAGTACTAGACAGAGGCATATATAATCGAGGCGGCTAATATTTGAAAGTGTGTCTGTCATATGAGCAAATAATGCAATAGGACTAAGTACACATGTCTTCAAACAGTGCATAAACGACAGTGTTGACAGCCGTTTTAACTATACTAAAATCTTTTCATCAGATTCACTCCTACATGCACAGAAAATAGGAGGACAAATTCAGAGGTGGCTAAAAAAGGAAAGATGGATATATAATACCATTCATCTTTTGAGTCCTTTTTCTTCCACAACTCTGATTCAATACATAGATGTCTTTTATTTAGTTTCTTGCTTAGAACAACTCCAAGCTTACTTGTTGCTGCTACAGCTTAAATTCCAACAGCTGAAACATCTAGAATGAGGGCATGCTCTGGAGTAAGAAGACAAAGTATGACATTTCACCCTGGTCTATTATCATCTCGGTGGCCTTGAGCAAATAGCTTAACCTCTCTGAACCTCAATTTTCTCTTCTGAAAAATTTTAAGTCCTATCTCACAGCCTTTTGAGAAACTTAATTTAAAAGATGTAAGTGAAACATCTCCACCTAAATCACTGTTTCTCAAACTCCAACATACATAGGAACCACCCGGAGATCTTGTTAATGTGCAAGTTCCCCGATTGAGAAGGTCTTCAGTGGGTCCTGCAAGTCTGAAGCTCCCAGGTGACATTAGAATCTGAACCAGACCCTTCCCTCTCCACCTGGAGAATTTTATTTCCTCCTGCTGCCCCAGACAAACCTGTCTTCCCTTACCGGGGAGGGAGGTGGGTGCTGCTGCTGAGAAGGGGACAGGTTGGATGACTGCTGATGTCATTTGGGAGCTGGTTAGAAATGTACAATCTCATGCCCCACCCAAAACATTTTAACAGAATCTCCAGGTAATTTGAATGAACACTAATGTTTGAGCAACACTGACCCAGAATCAGACCTGGCACATTGAAGATTTGGGATCTAAATGTACTGTTAGGTTTTGGATTATCACAGAAGTGTGCAGGATATAGATGGATTTAACACATTTTTTCATATTCAAAATTTGGATTTTTGAATTACATTCAGAGTCATATTTTGCCAACACGTTGCTTTAAGCTAAAGAGTGGCCTCACCCCAGCCAGATCAGGCCTCTACTCCCTGACAGCTAGCCATTTAGTAGCTGTTTCCGGGAGGAATCTGCATTGTCAAAGCCCTTGTCATTGTTTTCCCCACCAAATCTCAATTTTAGTATTTTGTATAGAAAGTACACTTACTAACTGGAATTTAAATTGTTTTGCTGTGTCTATTTACGGGAGACTATTGCTAAGAGCAACAACATATAAACCCAGTTAACACATCAAATTAGTATATTTCAAGTCAAAGCAAAGATGATTGATGTCTGCATTAGCCTATACTGTTTATTGTGGGTACATGAATAAATGAATACATAAGGAGTTTCTTGGGTTCTTGGGGCGGGGGGCTCCAAGTTAGGAAACTACTTGAGAAGCCTACTTAATGGTAACAGCCAGTTTTAAGGGATAGGAGCTCAGCTTGGAAGGCAATGAGGAATATGTGAAAATATACTTGAGATTTCAGCTAGTATTCCATAAAACCTGAGAAGTCCATTGATTTTTTTTTAATAAATTACTGCTTTTAATAATGGATTAACTTTTTTATCCTTTATTGTCTTGAGTTATTTTTGCTGTCTGAGATTTATACTCATTTCTAATTCATCCTTTACAGTGCATAGTGAAGATACAAGAATCAAATAGACACCATGATATTTTCATCTGTGTAAGAGAAATATTTTCTTCCTCATAGGACTTTTCATCATTTAAAATGTCCTGCCTAATGCTTTGTTGTTTCTTGTAGAGCAGGTTTGCTAGTAACAGGTTCTCTGTTTTGTTTATCTATCAATGTCTTTATTTCCCCCCCATTTCAAAGCATAGGTTTGTTGGATATAGAATTCTTGCTTGGCAGTCTTTTAGTATTTTGAATATCTTATCGCATTACCTTCTGGCAATGAGAAATCAGCTGTTAATCTTACTAAGGATCCCTTGTACATGAGTTGCTTCTCTCTGTTCCTTTCAAGAGTCCTTCTATGTTTTTGGTTTAAGACAGCTTGACTACAGTGGGTCTAGGTTTGGATCCTTTGACATCTATCTAGCATGGAATTTGGTGATCCTTTTGGATATACAGATCATGTTTTTCATCAAACTGGGACATTTTCAGCAACTATTTCTTTAAATATTCTTTCTCTTTTGGGACTCTCCTTCTGGAACTACTGTTAGGCATACGCTGGCATACTTTATGGTGTCCCACAGGTCTGTGAGGTTGTTTATTTTTCTTCCTTTTTTTTCCTTTATGGTTTTTGGACTGGATAACGTCAGTTGACCTATTTGCAGGTATAACAATCTTTCTTCCGCCTGCTCGTATCTGCTGTTGTTTCCCTCTACTGATTTTTTTTTTTCATTTTGTTTTTTATACTTTTCAACTCCAGCATATCTATTTGGTTCTTTTTTTTTTTTTTTAAGATTTTATTTATTTATTTGACAGACCGAGATCACAATTAGGCAGAGAGGCAGGCAGAGAGAGAGGAGGAAGAAGGCTCCCTGCTGAGCAGAGAGTCCAATGTGGGGCTCCATCCCAGGACCCTGGGATCATGATCTGAGCCGAAGGCAGAGGCTTTAACCCACTGAGCCTCCCAGGCGCCCCTATTTCGTTCATTTTTTTATACTTTCTGTCTCTTCATTGATAATAAATAAATTGGTGAGACATTATTCCCCTTTTCATCTCGTCTCTTTGGACATCTTTCATCTGGTCTCTTTAGACATGGTTTCCTTTAGTTATTAGAACACATTTAAAACAGCTGATTTAAAGTCTTTGTCTAGTGAGTACACTGTCTGGGCTTCCTCAGAGTTTGTTTTTTTTTTTCCCTGAGTATTGGCTATAATGCCTTTACTCTTTACATGTCTCAAAATTTTCACTGAAAAGACATTTGTAATAATATAATAATGTGAGAACTTTGGATATCAGGTCCTCCTCTTCCTTATGTTTGTTGTTGTTTGCCTAGCGATTTTTCTGGACTAATTCTATAAAGTCTATATTCTTTGCCATATGTGGCCACTGATGTCTATGCTTGGTTTGCTTGGTTGTCAACTAATTATTGGCTAAGATTTCCTTAAATTGCCTAGGCCAATAAGTCCCTCCCCCCTTTTTTTTAACCATAGGGCAAAATGTATGCAAACCTTGACAGTCGGGTAGTTCACAATTCTGCAGTAGCCTTCAGTTTCTGCTCATGCAGAGCCTCAAGATTAGCCAGAGGGCAGAGACTAGGGACTTTCAATTCTTTCCTGAGCATACAAACAGCTGTAGACATGTACATAACCCTAAAGATGCATGTAGTCTTCTAGACTCCCAGGAATAGATCCAAGCTTTTCAACCCCCCCTCCCCATGGAAATCACATTCCTCAGATTCCTTTTAAGCTTGTGGTTAGCCTGTTGTCTGTCCCAACTGTTTTCCATTGCTTCTGGCAGCCATGATGTTAAACGAAAGAGCCCTCATTATTTTTGACAAATGCCCCTGAGAAAAATGCTCTTCTCCCGCTGGTCACATTCCTGGTCAGATCAATTAAAGACATACATTGTGAGGGGGGGTCTTCAAGGGAACCACAAACAGGTCAAGCAGTGACAGTACTCTGGGAATGGAGTTTGGAATTCCAACTCTGTTTTGTCCATTGCAGTGGCTGCCAAGCTGCTGGTTCCCACTGTGACTGTGGGATACTAGCTTTCAAAGCTACTGCAAAGCTGGGGAGAAGAGGATGGGGACAAAGTTAAAACCCCACAGAGCTTGCTGTTTCTTACTGAGCCACCATTTTTCTTGAGTAAAAATTCTCCAGACTGTGACAAGCCTTTAATTAATTTCCAGATCCCTACAAATGTTGATTCAGGATACTTCTGTCAGTTGCTTTTACACAAAAGAGGATTTTTGGAGATCCTTATTACACCATTCTGGCTGATGTCACTTAAAATGCCTTGAAACTTTTGAATAGTGAACAAAAGTCTCATGGAACTTATCCTTCTACATTAGACAGACAGACCCCATATCCACCAGAGATCATATAGGGTTCCACTAAGAAATGCCACTAAAATACCTTGGTGGTTTGAGGCAACTGTCAGATGAGAGATCACATTGACCTCCTCCTAAGGAAGATTTCTCATAAATAAATCTCAAACTTGCAGGAAGTGCTGTCTAATGATTTAAAGCCTATTCTCTGCAACTAGCTAGCTCTGATTTGAAGTCCTGATTCTGCTACTTAATAGCTTTGTGACCTTCATCAAGTTACTTAACATTTACAATACAATGATAATAACCACCCGTTCGGAGATTTGTCTTAAAACCCAACTAACAAAAATAAAGTGCTTGGTGTGGTTTGTGGCAAACGTAAATGCTCAAGAACTTTTAGTTTCTATTGCTATTATCATTAAGAATATAGTTCAGGGGACGCCTGGGTGGCTCAGTTGGCTGGACGACTGCTTTCGGCTCAGGTCATGATCCCGGAGTCCCGGGATCGAGTCCCGCATCGGGCTCCCAGCTCCACGGGGAGTCTGCTTCTCCCTCTGACCTTCTCCTCACTCATGCTCTCTCTCACTGCCTCTCTCTCAAATAAATAAATAAAATATTTAAAAAAAAAAAAAGAATATAGTTCAGCACTACTGATAATAATGCTGAATGTTCATCTGATTGTGGTTCTTTAAGAGTCACTTTCGAAGTGGGAAATAAAACTATTTCACTCGTATAACTATGTTTCCTATGTGATTCTAGGCACTGTGGTGGTCCAGCAGTTGATGTCCGTGATGATTGGCAAACACGACCGCCTCTTCCCCAAAGAGGCAGAACCGCAAAGCAAACCCCAAGATGGAGTGAGTAACAATAACAATGAAATTCAGAAGAAAGCCACCATGGGTCAGCTACAGAACAAGGAGAACAATAATACCAAGGACAGTCCTGGTAGGCGGTGCTCTTGGGACAAGTCTGAGTCTCCTCAGAGAAGCGGCATGGATAACGGATCCCCCACAGCTGTACCGGGTAGTAAAACCAACAGCCCGAGGAACAGCGTTCACAAGCTGGATGTGTCTAGGAGCCCCCCTCTCATGGTCAAAAAGAATCCTGCCTTCAGTAAGGGCAGTGGGATCGTCACCAACGGATCCTTCAGCAGCAGTAATGTGGAAGGTCTGGAGAAAACCCAAACCACTCCCAATGGGAGCTTACAGGCCAGAAGGACCTCTTCCCTGAAGGGGTCTGGTACCAAAATGGGTACCCACAGTGTCCAGAACGGTACAGTGCGAATGGGCATTTTGAACCCCGACACACTTGGGAACCCCATGAACGGTCGCAGTATGAGCTGGCTGCCCAATGGCTATGTGACCCTGAGGGATAACAAGCAGAAAGAGCAAGGAGGAGAGTCAGGCCAGCACAACAGGCTCTCCACCTATGACAACGTCCATCAGCAGTTCTCCATGATGAACCTGGATGACAAGCAGAGCGTCGACAGTGCCACCTGGTCCACGTCCTCCTGCGAAATCTCCCTCCCCGAGAATTCCAACTCCTGTCGCTCCTCCACCACCACCTGCCCAGAGCAAGACTTCTACGGGGCTAATTTTGAGGACCCTGTTTTGGATGGGCCCCCGCAGGACGACCTCTCCCACCCTGGGGACTATGAAAACAAGAGTGACCGGAGGAGTGTGGGAGGTCGAAGTAGTCGTGCCACCAGCAGCAGTGACAACAGTGAGACATTCGTGGGCAACACCACCAGCAACCACAGCGCACTGCACAGTTTAGTGTCCAGCCTGAAGCAGGAGATGACCAAACAGAAGATAGAGTATGAGTCCAGGATAAAGAGGTGAGGAAAATCCGGAGCGCCTAGCTGCCAGAAAGGCGGCAACCACCTCCTCCCGCAGGGACGGGTTGACACGGGAGGTTAAACACGCTGGTTCCGGAGCCAGAGACCTGAGTTCAAGTCCAGCCTTTCCCACTTGTAAGCTGTGGGACTTGGGGAGACTTCTCTGTGAGCTTTCGGGTTCTTACTGTGAAAAACTGGAACTATGAGTAATTTTTTACCTTAAAAACATATGAGAAATCACCGGGCATTGTCCCTGGCCCAGAATAGTGGCTCCATCATTCTATTTTCTGTTATTAAATGTGTAGGTTTGTGTTAAGAGCTGGAAAGAGGGCCTGGGATAAATGGAAAGTAAGGAGACTGTTTTCACTGATGGGCAGAGGGTGAGATGAGGGTAAAGAAAAGGTGTCGAAAGAAACATCTCTGTTTTTTATTATTTTAATTGTTGGATGTTGAGAGAGGGTCCGCTGCGTGCCGGGCTCAGTGCCTTGAGGGGTCAGCGGTGAATAAAATAGACAAAAACTCAGCCCTCATGGAACCTGCTTCTGTTCCACCGCAGAGACAGATCAAGAAGTAAAGTAGATCAGATGCTAAGTGGAAGACTAACACGGCAGAGGGGTAAGAAGCTTTGGTGAGGTGTAAGGTCACGTGCAGGGCCTTCCAGGTAGTCCAAAAGGAAGCCATGCGGATCCCTGAGAGAAGAGCAAGTGGAAATGCCAGGAGATAGGCTGGGCTGGGGGCTCAGAGGGGGAACAGGGCCCAGTGGCGTAGGACCTTGGGGATCATTTTCAGTCTACTTTTTGTTCTGAGATTAGGATCCATTGGATGTTTTTGAGAAGAGCATCGACGTAAAGTGTGTTCATATGCACAAGGTAAATTCTAGGCTAAATGAGGAGCAAAAGCTATGATTTCTAATGAAGCGATTATGCTAACTCCTAATTTATATCAGTTTGCATCTTCTCACAAGATGACCAAGGTAGGAGTGTGCCTAGCAACTTTTCCAGGAAAGCAGCCACAGCAGGATAAGGGGTGTTTGCCGAGGGTCCTTTGTTCACAGTGCCCCTGACTGTCACGTGTTCTGTGGACTTGAGAGGTGGGAATGGAGAATGGAGCCCAGGGCTCACAAACAGCACCTTGGGCCGGAAACCAGAATGTCCTCCCCGACTTTCACCACGGTTACAGATATTCTAAAACTGATGGTCTTCATGTTCTCCCCTCAGCTTAGTGTAGGTGAAGAGGGCATTTCACTCAAGTAGAAGGCTCAAGGCTTAGTTCAGCATGAAGCCACCCCTCTGTGGTCTCCACCCCCGTTTCAGGCTATGCGACTTGGTGGCCCTCCTCCTTCATGGGTGTTCCGGGGTCCTCCTAAGAGTGGGCCTCAGTCTGTGTCCTGCTTCAGAAGCTCCATGTCGCCAGATGCCACACGCTGCTGCTTTATACATAAAGTTGGCTTCCGTGCATTTTAATATGTCTCCCATCTATTAGTCAGTTATCAGGCCAAAAGTTACAGATTTTCAAGAACTTTGGTAAAGTAAATATAAACTGAAGTACCACTTACACATTAAGTTGAAAAATGACTTTCTTAGAAAGTAGTTTTTGTAAACCTTGCTGAACAGAAACTTGGTTTGAATTTTTCTATATAATGCCAAGTGACAGGAGGTTTACGGAAGAAGAAAAATGCTGTCAGCTAATAAGGTGACTCTCATTTCTGAGTGTCATTTTTGGAATCACTGGCTACCAGAACTCTGAATTTCTGCCAGTATGTGACGATAACTTAGCACTTAGCACTGGGAAGCAAGAGACAGCACTTTAAACTTGTATTAATAGAGAAAAAAAGCTATTCTGAATGGTTGCGGATGTACACATTCATTTGTGAGAACATTGATGGCCTGTTTGTGTTCTGTGATCTATGATGCACTTCAGAGACTTTGAGAAAATAACGTAACTTCCCAGTAAAATGTCATCTCAGTGAGCCCTCTTCCTGTAGCATTCTAACCCCCCTGACAGCCGGAGGGTGAGGCCCATAGCAGAGTGGGGCAGACGAGCTGCCATGGGCCCAAGGCACAGAAATGGAAGAGTTAACCGTTCTAGTTAATTTGTGATCATTTCTATTTGCAGTCACACATTTCTCTTTCAATTTCTTTTAAACTCCATCCCATAAATACTGAAGTTAGACAAATTCATAGATATATGATATAGATGATAATAGATAGATAGATAGATAATACTTTATTTTGTTTAGTTATCACTGATATGTGTTGTTTAGCTTTTAAACGTATGAGTTTGATGTTCTTTTACCCCCAAAATTAGTTCCTAACCTTACTGTATTGTGGTAGGAGAAATTTGTTTATATTATCAATTATTTGGCCTGGTAAAAACTATTCTGTTTTTACTGGTTTAGGATTCCATATATGACTAATAGATCAAGTCTGTTGGTCAAGTTGTTCCAACCTTTTACATTTCTTCTAATTTCTATAAGATCTATAATTTCCAAGAAAGGAAAAATCTCATATTACTATAGATTTATCAATTTCTCCTTATAATTTTATTATATTTTATATTGAATAATGTGAGGCTAGACTACTTAGTGAATAAAAGTTCAGTATTATTCATTCTCCCTGATGAATTGGTCCTTTATTCATTAAGTCATGGTCATCTTTAATAATGCTTTTTGCTGAAAATCTATTTCTTCTGATACTAATACTGCTATGCCACCTTTATTTTGATTAGTAACTTCCTGGCAGAAAAGACTTGAGCTATCCAGCCATGACATTCTCACTACCGTTATTTTTTCTTTGCCCAAAAGCAAATATGATGTCCTCTTTTCTCTTCCAACTTTATCAGATTTTCTCTTTTCTTTTAGTAAAGCCAGCTTCACCTGAAATGACTGCAGGAAGCCCTGTGGTTTGGGTTTCCTCCTGCATCTGCCATTCTGTGCTCCCTCATAATCAGTCTCCGGCTTCTCTGTGCTCACATTCATTTATTCACAATCAAAGGACAGCTAAGTGCTTCCAAGCGAGGTCTTGGGGTCTTCTTGTTAAAATGATAGTAAATCATCCCAGCAGATAGAATCAACGAATGAACGAATAAATAAAAATACATCTTTTAAATCATTAGACCTTACTTCACTGATTTGAAAGGGTCCATTACGATTTCCTAAGCCTTGTAGAGATAGAGTTCAGAAAATATTTGCATCCCCATCCCATTTCAAGTGAATGACATCACTTTATCCTTTGTTCCTTCCCTCACCTTCTCTAGCTTAGAGCAGCGAAACTTGACTTTGGAAACAGAGATGATGAGCCTCCACGATGAACTGGATCAAGAAAGGAAAAAGTTCACAATGATAGAAATCAAAATGCGAAACGCCGAGCGAGCAAAAGAAGATGCTGAGAAAAGAAATGACATGCTTCAGAAAGAAATGGAGCAGTTTTTCTCCACGTTTGGGGAGCTGACAGTGGAACCCAGGAGAACCGAGAGAGGAAACACAATATGGATCCAGTGAGCCTGCTTCCTCCCACTGTCTCCGATGGACGTGGCGGGGGCTCCGGGGTGCTGGTGGGAACATTCTGTGGGATCGGGTGGCCGGTCCCCTGCTGTACAGTGCTCTAACTGGTGAAGGAATATCATTTACAGACATTACCCATCCATATCTGCAATGTGTACCAAAGTTATATCATGCCCCATAATGCTACTGTCAAGTGTTACAACTGGATATGTGTATAGAGAGTAGTTTTTAAAAAAAAAAAGTAAACTAAAAATGGGAAGCATATCTCAAGAATTATTTTATTGCAAGTCTTGTATTTAAAATGTTAAATCAATATGTTGTTGCAATTTAGCTTGCTTTCAAGCTTCACCCCTTGCACTTAACATAAGCTATTTTTGGCATTGTGTTATCATCAGCTTATTTTATAGATCAATATTTTTATTTCCCCTTTTGCTGAGGAAATGAAGATGAGCAGATATATAAATATATATAAATATATATCAGATGAGTTATTAAAGTCAAAAGAATATTTCGTGGCTGTGCTGTTTGTGCCAATAGACCCCACCATGACCAAAAGAGAAATGTAAATAGTTTTATAAAATACAGTAGACTCACCAGGAACCTTTGATTTGCTCTTTAAATTCCTCCCTTGACACTGCTCAGTTTTCTTAGGGAGGTGTCTTGACACAGAGAATTTTGGATTTTGTGGGAAAAATATAAAAGGCCCCATCTCGAGGCTTATTGTCTGCCTGGTCAGTCCCACAGATGAATGTCTCCTGTGCGGAATGCACTTTAGAGGGAGCAGATGGTAAAAGCATTTAATGAGTCATGCCATGAACTACTCTGACCTTCAGGACTGAGTCTCGGTAACTGCTACATGGTTTCGAGAACAGTTCTTCCCACCATTTGAAGGTGGGGAAACAATGCTCGCAATTCTATGCCACAGAAACCCCTCCTATCTGCTCAGACCTTGCCTCCAACCCCCAGCAAACACACTGCAGTGCAGGCAGTGAGATGGTGTGACCGTGACCCTCTCAGTTGAACGGCTAGCATGCGAGCCGTACAGTGACATGTTTCTGTCACTCAGGCCTACTGTCCTGTTGTCACCTGGGATTCTGTCTGCAGGACTACTGGGAAAGGCAGGGGATGGAGTGGATAGCCCAGGAGGAGGAGACAAGTTAGGAAGAAGCCAACCATTTTGCTTCTAATTTTTACAATATTGTTCTTCCCAGTTGAAAACATACTTGTTCACAACAATTTTAAGATGTGAATGTTTTGAGGTCCAATTTTGACAAGTTTATGCACATGAGTAATGGTGACTGTATGTAGGAGCCCAAGGCTCTCTGGAGGTAGAGTTTGGAAAGAACAACTCTTCACGCTCCAGTAAGGCAATGACTTTGAGAAGCCAGGCAAGGAACTGTTTCTCACCCTAGAACGAAAAGTCACAAAAGGCATAACTGGAAATAAAGACTGCTTGAGTTTATAGGACTGTGTTGTTAGAAGGTTCTATGTCTGTGTGTGCTTATTTATTTTCAAATGGAACATAGTCTTTAGAGCATCCAGCCTCGTCACCATTCACTTTCGTGTATATCCTTCCACCAAGCAAACTTCTGTGGTCCCTGGGTTTTAACCACTTTCTATAATACTGCTGCCTCTTCACCTTTAGTTTCCTGTTCTCCCACTTTCAGATTCTTTAACCAGATACTTCCACCTGGATATCACATAGAAAAGTTAAACTCAAAATGTACCCTGTTGATCTCAGTGGGGCTCTCTTATATACATTTCCATCTCTGCCCAGGCCCTGTCCTAGCGAATGAAAACCATGGACTCCTCCAGGGAGCTGAAGGACGCAATAGGAAAAATCAGAGGGCATGCAGTTACCCAGCCTCCCTTCAGATTTTCCACAAATTGCTCTGACTGAGACTTCTAAGCCTCACTTTTTGCACTGTAGACTGGGAATAACAACAATACTCCTCTCACGGACTTGTTACGTGGTTTCGGTGAGGGAGATGGTGTGCTAGCTGAGCACAGCACCTGCTGGACAGAGAGGATGCCCTAAGCATTCTTCCTCATTTTTCTCTCCACTCTTCTCCACTCTTGAATTCACTCACCAAGTACCATCCAGTCCACTCAGCCTTGCCTAATGAGTCTACTCTCTTTGGTTAGTTCCTCCTCGTCTTTGATGAAAGCCTCTCTCCTTTTGCAGGATGCCCCTTCTAGGCTGCCTGTCCTACCATACATGGCCTTGCTACCTACTATCATGTAGACTCTCACTTACCCACAGGATGTTCCCTTCCCATGGTGTAGAAGGCTGTGACCTGCATTTTTTTTTTTTTTTTTTTTTTTGTAGCTCTTACCACTTCCTCCACCCCTACCATGCCCCTTCGTGCCTCTGGAACTTTCCACCTTCTATTGTCATGTCCATCTTCACTACCTTCCTTCTATCTGGCACAGCCCTACCATTTTTTTTTTTTTAAAGAGCCAGATCAAATGTTAGTTCCCCTATAAAGCTTCTAGGATCTCAACTCAGAATTAGTTACCTTGTGCTCCTAATTTGCATATATCTCTTTTAGTCTTTTCCATACCTGATTATTTTCTTCACCAATAAGAGACATTTTAGGAAACACCATGGTAGAATGGAAATAGCAGGAAACAGAGAGCCAAGAAGACCTACATATGCATCTCATCAACATGCCTTAGGCAAGATGCACAGCAATGAATTACAAGTCACTTAACCTTTCTGAGCCTCAGTTTTTTCATCAGTAAAGTGGAGGTAATAACTCCTACCAAATAGTGACATTGTGATACTTAAAAGTGGTATGTAATGTGACTATCCCAGTGACTGCCAGTTAGCCCTGTTGATAGCTCTATTAATAAAGGAGCTTCCTTACCTAAGAGAGTAGAATTGTATCTGACTGATCTTAAATCCTTCCATCTCCACCCTTTATTCCATAGAGTGCCAGCATGGAGAGTTAGCTGCAAATCCGGTCTTTGATTTATGAGGGATGCTGCTAATTTTAATTATCAATCTCAGCGGTGATGACCTTCAGTCGCTGTGTACCATGAGTAGCTTGTCCGCCTGAGTTTCTACTAGTTCTTCCATTAATTCGGCTAAATGCCCAGAAAATATCAACTACAAATTGACAGAAAAATAAAATGGAAATAAGTAGGTAGTATCAAGAGTTCATTTGCTACATCCTGTATAGACCTGTTTAAAACTAATAAGCGACTAGAATGATTCTTAAATTATGAGCTCAGGAGAAAGGATTGGCTTCTAAGTGTTGAGTCTATAATGTTGGTTTCACTAGCTGAACCATATAGCTGGGTATCCTTCAGAGAACACTTAAAACAGAATTGTGCATGACACTAGGCCCACTGACATCTGTACTTTTTAAATATTGTTTCTATATGTCATTTTATTATGAAATGACTAAAAATTTGAAGAGAAACTTCAATAATCTCATTCCTATTTATTTATTCACAAGCTAAGCCCTAAATTGAAAAAAACAAAAATAGGTCATTTCCAGGTAGGATCATTGAAATCATTGATATAATTGATAATTGATATAATTATCTCTCCTTGGAAATCCAGGAGAATTTAAAGACTGTGACCTTGGCCATAAACCTCAATATTCCTCTCATTGCAGAATGATTTCTTGCTTAGAGTAACATCACAGAAAATGATAGGCATAAAGCTTTTGAAATCAGAGAACTGCCTGGATTTCAAATCTTAGTTCTATGACTTTGTAGCTATAAGAATTTAAGAAAAGTTACATGATGTTGGTAAACCTCAATTTGTTTTTCTGAAAAGTAGGATTTTTTTTTGAGAAATGACTAAATTGACTCACACAGTATATATTGATATATTGTAAGTGTTCAATAAATGGTAGCTGTTATCCCTCAAATTCTTTCTACTGAAAGAGTGTTCCAGCTTCTAGAAGATAGAGTCTGGCCTCAAGAATTTGGCTCACCAGCAGAGGATATAATTTTGTCCCAGGGAGACTAAATTTACCTTTGCTTGGATAATCTGCCAGAGATTTGATGGCAAGGAAGAGGTAACCCAAGGCATACTTTCTACCAGAGATCATACAGTTGCCTCCACAATCTGAGAATAATGTCCCAAGGACCACCTGTAACTGTCCTGCATCAAGTCTGTGTGGACACTGAAGAATATGTTTGGTTTTAAAGGTATCAGGTAAGAAACAATGGAAGTCTAAGAATATGACGAATGAATGTGCCTAGACTCACATCTGCGTCACCATTAGTGAATATTGCTTGAAGGCCGCCACACCAGCCCTAGGCTTGCTGTCTGGGATACCTCATTTCTAAATAACTACCCCATAAGATAGTGTTCTGTGAAAGGAGTTCGAGATAACAAAAATGAGGCTGGAAAAAGCAATGCAGAGCCATGACCATGATGTGAGTCCTAAAGAATAAGTAGGATGTTTTCAGAGAGCTTAGCAGTTTGGGGCAGGGGCTTCCCTAGTCCATGGAAAAGCATGTGCCTAAGCACTTTCAGGGCTTAGGGTGATCTTTGGGGTGGTCTGGGGTGATCTTTTAAGACCTGGGGTGGGGGTGCCTGGGTGGCTTAGTGGGTTGAGTCGCTGCCTTCGGCTCAGGTCATGATCTCGGGGTCCTGGGATCGAGTCCCGCATCGGGCTCTCTGCTCAGCGGGGAGCCTGCTTCCCTCTCTCTCTCTCTCTGCCTGCCTCTCCGTCTACTTGTGATCTCTCTCTGTCAAATAAATAAATAAAATCTTAAAAAAAAAAAAAAAAAGACCTGGGGTGGTCTTGGCCAAAAAGACGCACTCACACACCACCAGGATATCTGAAAACACTTAACACCCAGGCGGCTTCCATTCTTTTATTCAAATAAAGCATCCAGAGCCAGACACCTTCTGCCTTGTTGGAACTCATAAACCACAGAAAAAGAGTGTGGCCTTGTGGCTCCCAAAGGCCTATTTTGTTATTCTCTTTACAGTCTTTTTAATTGCACAGATGGGGAATGAGTTGACGCCCCGCTTAAGGGCTCCTTGCTGCAAAGCAATGTGGAAAATGAACAGCTCCCAGAGCAGTGGAAACCTACCAAACCTACTGTAGACCTTTGAGTAGAAAGTCTAGCAGATGTAAAGTGTGTTTTTTAATGCACCATTTGGGGCTTGGGGCCAGGACTGAGTATACTCATTTATGGACCATGTGTAGTTGCCACATTTCTGGTCCCTGGAGGGCTAAGCCCAGGTGAGACCAGCCCATTTAGGGAAGGTTACCTTTCTCAAGTAGAAAGTACTGAATCATTTGAATAAGGAGTTATATTGGCCCTCAGCCAGTGAACTTCTTAGGTCATTCCCTTACCACCATCACTCTAACAATTTTTAGAAACCCCCAAAGAGTTGACAATTTAACTCCTTATTCAAATAAGCCCCAAATGGTGCATTAAAAAACACATTTGACACCTGACTTTGATAATGGCTATCATCCCCTCATGTCATTGCTTCCCTCCTTGACCAGCTCAGCTTCTATGGTTCCTCATTATAATTATTCTTTTCCTTGTTCTCAAATCCCTTCATATTTTCTTCCACCACCGTACTCATATGGTAAGGAAAAACACCCAGCCCAACTCTGGCTAAATCCAATTCCTTCTTATTCCTAACCTGAACCTGAGAAACTAAATATGGATGGATAGCAAAAGAGCACCATGTTGAGTTGTTCCATCTTCTATCTATATAAATATAGTTCACATGGTTCTCATCATTGTCTAGTATCTTAACTTCCTATTTTTTAAGGTCAGTGTCACACTTCTCAAGCCTCCGTAAGCTCTTCCCCTTCCCATTCTCAGGTAGTAACATCACTTATATAACCCAACTTACTGATAACTAAGAAAACAATACCAAAAGAGTATGTCTTTGTGTTCCATCATCATATCTACCCAACTGTCTACATGCAACCTATACACACCATCATACCACCTGCTACAATGACTGTGCCACCTGCTCCAACCAAGCCAAGTGCTCCTCCCATACACATCCCTCTGGCCTTTTCAAGCACATTACTCCTTCAAATAAATATTCTTTCTCTCTTACATTGTGAATTTTGCTCTTTATATAATAGTCCTATCAACATATACCCATGCTATAATAGCTTTCTTAAAATTCTCTCATGTCATATTCATGTCTTATTTCCACATAATTCTTCTGCTTCACTTTCTAGAATTTTCACTTTCTTGAATTTTCCTTACCTATGTCTAATTCCTCACATGCCATATTCTCCTGAACTCACTAAGTCATGCTTTCTTGCTCAATACTGCAGAGAACATGCTCTAATATGTCAGCAATGACCTTCATAAAAATCAAGTCCAGGGGCGCCTGGGTGGCTCATTGGGTTAAAGCCTCTGCCTTCAGTTCAGGTCATGATCCCAGGGTCCTGGGATCGAGCCCCACATCAGCCTCTCTGCTCGGCAGGGAGCTTGCTTCCCCTTCTCTCTCTCTG